CAACATGAATCTTAGGCCTTCTTTTTTTTACCCTTTTTTGTGTTTGCTCTTCCAGTGTTGAGATATTTATCTTCTAGCTCACTATTTCTGGTTTCTAACTCTTCAGTTCTACTCCTCTGCCCTTTCAGTGTATTTTCCATTTCTGATATTCTATGATTAATCCTTTGGACCTCTTTCTGTAGGTTTTGAATTATTTCCAATGCTGTATCTATTTTATTTGATTGTTCCTGTAGTGCTTTCCTGACTTCTTCCTTATTTTTCTCAACTCCATTGTGTAGTGTTTTCATACATTTTATAATCGTTTTTCTGAATTCCTTCTCAAGCATTTCCAAAGCCTGCCCATCTTATAGTATGGAGTGTATGTAGGTCACTTCCAGCTCATTTGCCTCATTCACTTTATCTCGTTTCTGGACATGTGCTGATATGGTCATCTGCTTCTGTTTTGGGGATATATTGAGGAGTTATCTGTGGCCTTAATACTTAGATGGGTGTGTTTTAGAATTTTTTATGCTTTCTGATTGCCTCCAGGTAGATGTGATCAGGAGATAGATGGGCTTCCCTTTTCACTCTTTTTCCTGAGAAATTTCAAGATGCCACTGTTGGTCATTGTAACATAACTCAGGATTTAATTTTCGGCCTATTTCCTTTTTAGTCTGCCTGTCCCACTCCACAATCCTCATTCAGGCCTTTTTCTTAGTGATAAACAGTTCAGGGCCAGCTGTGGCTGTTTGATTTTAAGTGGAAACTGTCACTTTAAATTTTGAAGAGATCTGAGCGCATGGTAGAACCCTCCAGGGGTGGGGGTGATGTGTCCACTCACTCAGGCACTCTCCCTAGTCACCAGAATGGAGGTGTGCAGACAGCGAGAGACCAATGAACAGATAACAAAAAAAAAAGAATGTCCACACCTTTTTTTCCGTGGTTCTGTCAGTTGTCTTTGGCTGCTCTGATCCTTCCCCTGCTTATTTTTCTCCAAGATGGCGGCTCTGGGAGCAGCTGAGTGTCTTGAATTAAAAAACAATGGATTGCTTGCTTCTGCTTCAAATTCCCCTAGCTGTAAGCCTTCCAACCTTTTAAATATTCCTTTATATGTGGTTCAGAGATCTGGCACCATCCCCTGAGCCTGCTTGTTCCAGTATTCTGTGTTGTTCTGACGGAGCTCTTCACTGCACATCTACCCGATCCGCCATCTTATTTGTTCTCTTGGTGATATCTTTTGAGGTGCTTAAGTGTCTTATTTTTAGGATGTTCCATGTATTTTTGTCTTCTGTTTATGTGTTCTTAGTTGTGCGTGATAGTGTAATTATGCCATATATTAGAGCCCCTATGTTTGTCCCTGTTTTTTGATTGATGATCTTTATAGTTCTAGGTTTCACATTTAAGTCTTTAATCCATGTTGAGTTCAGTTCTGTACATGGTGTGAGATATGTTTCATTCTTCTGCAGATGGATTTCCAGTTTTGCCAACACCATTTGTTGAAGATACCATCTCTTCCTCGTTTATTGTGTTTTGGCCCTTTGTCAAAGATTAACAGAACATAGGTGATGGATTTACTTCTGGGTTCTCAATTCTGTTCCATTGATCCATATGTCTTTCATTGTACCAGTATCAGGCTGTTTTGATTATGGTGACTATATTGTAGGTTTTGAGATCTGGAAGTGAGAGGCCTTGTATTTTTTTCTTTTTTAGTAATGATTTGCTTATCCAGAGTCTCTTTCCTTCCCTTATAAAGTTGGTGATTAGTTTTAACATCTCTTCAAAGAATGATTATTGTAAAATAAGTCCTGGACATAACTTAATGTTCTATGGGCTCAATGCTAGTTTAGATTTGCTTACACTATAAATTACTTTGAATGGTGTTGACATTTTCACAATGTAAGTCTTCCTCCTATCCACTAACATGGCATATTCTTCCATTTTTGTAGGTCTCTATTGGTTTCTTATAGTTTTCTTTGTACAGGTCTTTTGTTCCCCTGGTTATTGATCAGTTTTGATAAGCGGTATATTTTTCAAATTTATAGTTAAAAAGTTGTTCACAGTATCATATTTGATAAATCATTGAAGTAAACAGTGGATCCAACTTTTTTGTTCTTTTGCATTTAGCGATTCAGATGTCCCAACATGATTTGTTGACTCACAAGTTTTGATATACAATATTTTCATTTTTATTCAATTCTATGTATTTTGTAGTTTGGTATGATTAATCTTTGATTCATGAGTTATTCAGATTATTTTCTGTTTATGGTATTTTAGTTACTTTTTTAAAAAGTTTATTTCTAACTTGAATGTATTATACTCAGAATATAGTAGGTATAGTATTAGTTCTTTGCAGTTTGAATAGAATAATGTTATAATTTAGATATAATGGAGTCTTGTTGGTGGTATTGTGAAGTACCGTCAAGTCAGTTCCAACCTGTAGTGACCTTGTATAGGGTTTCCAAGGAGAAGCTGGTGAGCTTGAACCACAAAACCTTGCAGTTCAAATGGCTTTGCAGTCTGGTGCATTAACCCACAGCACCACACCAGGACTCCATCTTGATGTGGTCCTGGTTAATGTGCTGGACTGCAAAGTTGGTTTGATCCGCCAAGTTCGGAGGCTCAAGCTCACCAGCTGCTCCTAGCAAACCATGTACGGGGTCACTATGGGTTGGAACTGACTTGACAGCACTTAACAATAACAATAAATATAATGTGATCAGTTTTTATTCCTTGTGTGTTTGTAAAGAATTCACCGTAATGCTGTTTATATCTTTTAGATCAAGCTTGCTAAATTAGATCTGTGTCCTTAGTGATTTTTGTATCTACTTGATGTTAGTTGGAACCCTGATGGCATAGTGGTTAAAGCACTAGAGTATAACTGGAAGGTCTGTGATTTAACCCACCTAGTCATGGTGAGGGAGAGAGATGTGGCAGTCTGCTTCTGGAAAGATTTATAGCCTTGGAATCCTCATGGGATGTTTCTATTCTGCCCTGCAAGATTGCTATAAGTTGCAATTGCTACTGGCAATGAGTTTGGTTTTTTGGGTTTTGATGTCAGCTGCTGATTGAAATATGTTAATATATCCTACTATGATAATAGATTTCTCTATTGTTTCCTGTTAATTTTCTATGTTTTAAATTTTATTATGAAAAGTTTCAAGCATACACAAAAGGAGAGAGAATAGTATAATTAACGCTTGTCACCCATTATTATGGAGTCGTGGTGTGGTGCTGTGGGATAAAGCATTGGACTGAAAGGTTAATTTGAACCACAAGCTCAGGAGTTCCAACTCACCAGCCGCTCCTTGGAAACCTTAGATAGGTTCGCTATGAGTAGACACCAACTCGACCACACTTAACAATGACAACAACCCATTATTAACCATTATCAATACATGGTCAATCTTATTTCATGTATCTCTTAAAACCCTTACTTCCACATACTCCTCAGAGTATTTTAAAGCAAATCCTAGACATAGCTTATGTTCTCTGGATTCAGTGCTAGTTTAGATTTGCTCACACATTTGCCAAAGCATTTGCATACCATTTCTTGCATTTTAGCCTACCTAGAAGCGTTTTTCTTCTGCCTGAAATATAGAGATTACAGTATCTTCTAGTGAAAGTCTTTTCTTCTTGGTTTTTGTTTGTTTAAAATGTTCTTATTTTGCACACTTTCTAAAAAAAGTACAAATTCAAATTGACGTTACTTTTTTTCTGAACATTTTGAAACTATTTTTCTAGTGCTTCTGGCTGTCATTATTGTTCAGAAATAAGCAGCAAGTCTGATTTCTGTCTCTTTATATGTTATCTCATTGGTTAATTTTAAGATTCTTTGGTATTCTGTAGCTCCATTACAATGAAACAAAAGTCAAATAATTCATTGATAGTAAAATTTCAAATTATTAGCTTTACATTTCTTAAGTACATAAAAAAATTCTTGCTATTTAAAAAGACCCTATTGTGAATTTTTTTCGGAGAGCCTAGTTCTGAATTTGTCTACCTTATAATGTCTCGAGATGGTACATATGTACTTTGACGTAAACAGGCACTGTATATTTTCTACATGTATCTTTCTACAGCATTACTGGAAATAATTATGAAAAATGGGAGCACAGCTGGAAATAGCCCTCATTGCCGAAAACCATCAGCTGGTGGTGTTCCAAACAAGACTAATTGCACAAAGAACAGCACATCTGGTAGTGGTGAAAGTGCAAAAGGCTATACCAGCGACCAAATAGATGGAGTTCACAGGTAGGAAGAAATATGATATATATTTCAACTATCATTGATACTAAAGTAGTTTTTTATGTTGTAAAATTTGGGGGAAAAAAGTGTTTTAATTGTAATTCAATAGAAAAATAGGCATTGAGGAATTGAACTCTGATTGTCTCATGCTTTATTTTATTTATTAAATCAGTCTGTAACTTACCAACTCAGGTTCAGTCTTGGAAAGCAACTATAAGACACAAAGCTACATCCAAATATATTTTTAAAAGAGAAAATTATTTCCAGTTTTGGCACAGTACTCTGCTTAGATAGTGACATTGAAAGAAGGTGAAGAATGGTTATGTCTTATATATAGCCATAAATGGGAAATTACATGTGACAGGAAAGTTGAGGGTAACAGCAGCATTTTAAATTCCCCATTTATATTGATGGATGGTTGCTATTTTCTATTTGTGCTCTTTCTTCAAGGCTGTTTTATTGTGTGTATATATGGATATATATGCAAAACCCATAAAACCATAATGTTCTCTCTCCTCTTAATAATTTTCTTATTCTGCTTCAGTGTTTTTGTTTTACCTCATGATACACTTCTACTTAAAACAGAAGAATTAGGTGGAGTTGAAGAATTATGATCTGGCTTTGGGTATCTGCATTTTTATTTTTTAAATGCTAATACTACAAAAATACACACAAAATAGTGTTGCTCTGTAGGATAAGTAATAGACTACTAACCACAGGTTGGCAGTTCAAACCCACCAGCCGCTCCTCAGAAACGGTATACAAGGTTGTTATAAAGTCAGAACTGACTCAGCAACACTTTATAGCAACAACAGCAATTTTACAAATAAGAAAAGCTTTTCTGTAAATAAAATGACCCTCTGTGAAACTCTAGAGAGGAAAAGAAATGTTTTGTTTCCTGCTATAACTTAAGGAAAATGTGGCCTCTGGTGTTACTCTCAAAGGGAAACTGAAGTTTAAGGATGAAGGACTCTGAACAGGGATAATCAGATAATTCACAAGAATAAGTTATAATACAATGAACTAGCCCAAATGAAGAGTTGTTTAAAGTAGTTACTCATTAAACCTCCTACTCTCTTTTGCCCATTCTTGCTTATTTCTCTTTCAATTTTCTTTTCTTTTCCCCCTTTCTTTATCAGAAGTAAAACTGAAACACTGGAGCAGTATAGTTTTTCCCATCCTAGAGTCTTAGTTCATTCTTTTTTATTTATAATAATTTATATTAAAAATTATATTATTTTAAGATAAAAGTTTTTTTATTGAGGATAATGATCACCCCGTCTTGATTTTTAAATGAAACATTAATACATTTATATTTTGTCTCTTTCCGTATATATACTTAAATGATAAAGCTTGATTGTAACATTTTATTTGAGTGTGACCCACAATAGGAAAAAGATCCCTAGAGGCATGTTTTGAGAATATAAAGTATACTGCTAACCACTTTTATAGCTGTTTTACTCTATCAGAGGTGGCTGAATAAGTGAGACTTGCTTTTGAATATTTTTCAAAAGAAACTTACTTAAGCAGTATACTGAAAGGTATACCTGGAAATCATAATTGAAATTTAAAATTATATTTTCTTGTAGGAATTAAATATATTGGTATACCGTGTTCTTAATGAAAGACTCAAAATAAAATTAATTGTATTATATATGATTTTTATTTAGAATCATTTTGTGATTATATTCTTTTCTTTTGTAGAATGGCTTCAAAAAGTTCATGGAAGAATGGAATTACAAGATAATGGATTTCTACCACGAACTTTTTGAAAGCCTCCCTATATTTAAACATGTCAGAAAAAACTGTGGTTAGGTGCTTTGGAAACTAGAAATCTCCCAAATCTGGTGTTTGTTTATGTGTGTGTTTTTTAATCTTTTTTTGTTTTCTTTTTTTTCATTTCTACCCTCAAGACTTGCCTTGAAAAGAAAAGAGAAGCACTTGTACAACACGTGGTTAAAATAAGAGGGAGAGCGATGCTATCTTTGTTTTAGTCTTCATAATATATATAAAATATGCGTGGCTCTGCAAAGCCCACTGGATCCAGCTTTAGACTGGGGGACACTTGAGAATAGAAAAGTGAAGGTGGTGGGTGGGTGCAGATAGACTCTGGATGTAGCCAGTGTGGAGTAGATGGAGATACAAAAACATTGAGGGAATTTCTGTCTGTTGGTTTCTATTTTGTTCTGTGAAATTCAAAATGAGTTGTTATTTGAGAGACTGAAGAAAGGAGATTGGGTTCAAAACTTGAAGAGAGTACTAAGAATGTAGAATCATTGCAAAGGGGAAAGGCAGAGAGAGGGAATGAGAGGATTGCTGGCTAGTTTGGGGGACCTAGCCAAGTTTGAGACCATAAATTCTCTGTGGGTAGCTTAGTAGTACTATACCCGTATAATTACTTGGTATTAATTGTTTGGCCAGTAATTTGATTATACTTTTTTTTTTTTTATCAAACAAATAATATATTCTTCATTGAAGATTATGTATAATTGAAACATTCTTTAAGAGAATATCTGTTGTTAGGTGCCATCGAGTAAGTTCTGATTCATAATAACCCTGTGTGCAACAAACAAAACACTACCCAATCCTATGCTACACTCACAACTGTAGTTATATTTGAGTCTATTGTTGCAACTACTGTGTCAGTTTATCTCATTAAAGCTTTTCCTCTTTTTCACTGATCCTCAGGCATAATGTCCTTCTCCTGGGACTGGTCCCTCCTAATAACATGTCCAAAATATGTGAGACGAAGTCTCACCATTCTCACTTCTAAGCTGTATTTCTTCCAACAGAGTCTCTGATTCACATCAAAGCCTTCATCCAGTGCCTTATAGAAGAGTTGCTTAGCTGGGTCATGTAATATTTATCCATTATTGTCATTGTTGTTAATTGCCGTCAAGTCAGTTCTGACTCATAGTGACCCTGTATAGGGTTTCTGAGGAGCAGCTGATGAGCTTGAACCGCTGACCTTGAAGTTCAAACCAACCTTGTAGCTTATATATAAAGTTTTGCTTTAGTGAGGTAGTAGATCACTAGCTAACACATTCTGTATGTTTTTTGTTGTTTTGTTTTACCTATACACAGGGGATTTTTCTGAAGAAAGCTATGTTATCTTGTTGGTTAGCACAATTATGCAAACAAGTTGCTCAGTAACAATTTGACTCAATGGGGAGAAGCCATGCAATAATATTGCATTCATTGCATAAGTAAGAGCTAGCTAACAGTGAATACTGAAGAAATACTGTGTAACTTTGTAAAACTGGCATTTTGCAAAACTAAGCATTATTTGTTTTCTTTGAGTGGAAATATATTGAAAAATAATTGAGAAAAATGTGTTATGGAGCTAATTTGAGGAAGTTTTTAATGTCTTATTTGGAAAAGGACCATCTTTTACTTAAAACCTCTAGAAAATCAGTATGAAGTCATTTTCTGGGCCATCATTTTGTTTATCAGTTAGGTATGCTTCTATACAACTCCTTAATCGTTTGAATTATGTGGATTTAAAATTAGGATCTGATATAAGCTTCAGCCCTTTAAATAAAAAGAAAATAAATCATTTGCTAGACATATAAAACAAATCTTTTGTATCAGATATAAACAAGAACACTATATTTGGAGTCCATTCAGTAATCAACTATTGTTATTGTTGTTAAGTACCGTCAAGTCAGTTCCAAACCATAGCAACCCTGTATAGGGTTTTCGAGGAGCAGATGGTGTGCTCGAACTACTGACTTTGAAGTTCACACTGACTTTTCAGTCCAGCACATTAACCCACAGTGCCATATAACACATGTAAAAAAGAATTAGAAAACCTTACATGCACCCCTCCAACTGTGTTTTCATGCACAAAAAGGAAGAAATAAAAGATGAACTGGATATACTTTTATTTTGTATCCTATTCAAACAGATATTTTTGGCCTTCTTTATTTCTTTATTTTATAAATTGTGAATTGAGTAAAGGTTTATAGACAAAATCATCAGTTTTACATTCAGTAAATCAGGTTCTTTGTTTCATCTCAACGATCACAGTCCCTTTCATGCAACAACAGTTGTCTCACTTCCTCCCTGTGGTTACTCATGCACAAATATCCTCTTTCAAATACTTTTATATTTGTGGGAGATATAAGTATATATATAAAACACTGCTGTTCCAAGTTTGTGTATATATCACTATTTACTTCTATCCCCTTTAGCCCTTAAATGCCTCCCTCTGTCTTTACCATTCTTCTGTATTTTTGGTCTTCTTGCGGATTTCCATTCAGGATAGTGAATGTGTTACCTCTTTTTTTTCCCCCAAATTCTTTGGTGAGGATGGAGAAGAGGATGTGATCTTTCATAAAGGAACTCATGGTAAAAATGAGACAAACATGTCTATTTGGTAAACAAGACCATGATATGGTCAATATGAATGAAAATTTCTCATTCAAACACGAAAAATTAGGTAAATGAATATATTTGGAGCAATCCTTGAAATATATAGTCTTTTGGGTGTCCATTAGTAATGATGACTTCTCAATTTCTCCTCTATTATATGGCCAAAAATTTTGTATGAGGAAAATGTATTAGAGCTAGACAGTGATAAGAATTACTGAAATAATTGCTTTTCCTGTCCAGTCTTTTTTCTTTCTTTGGCAATTCATAGCTTTATGACCCATCTGAACAGCACTATGAATTCCAGCCTACCTTCCAACGCTATCTAGCAATTGTTTCATGGACTGCATTTTTCTCTTGCCCAGAATTTTATGTTCTGGAAGCATCAGTCAAATACAATTTTAGAGGATTAGTCCAGTACATAATTAAACATTTCATACATGCAAACCAATGATGACTTTAGTATTATTCGATGCTTAGTTTATCACTGTCTCTTGTTGCTATTCTGGTAGTGTCTGCCATAGTTTTAGCTCTATTCATTGTACCACCTTTACTAAAGGAGCTCTGGTAGCGTAGTGGTTACGAATCGGGCTGCAAACCTTAAGGTCAGCGGTTCGAAACTACCAGCCGCTCCGTGGGAGAAAGATGAGGCTTTCTACTCCCGTAAAGATTTACACCCTCGGAAACCCTGTACAGGGTCGCTATGGGTCGGAACCGACTCGACGGCACTGAACACACACACACCTTTACTAAATAGTTCTTATCTACCTCAAGTTGGGTTTTCATGCCAACTATATTTTACAACAGTATTCATCATCTTTGGTTCCAACATTAGCTTTGTTGTTGTTGTTGTTAAGTGCTGGCAAGTCGATTCCGACCCATAGCAACCCTGTATAGGGTTTCCAAGGAGCAGCTGGTGAGCTTGAACCACCACCTTGCAGTTCAAATAGCTTTGCAGTCTGGTGCATTAACCCACAGCACCACACCAGGACTCCAACATTACTTTTAGATCCCCACTATTTCTGCCCTCAAATTCAGCTAATCATTCATCCATACATGTATTCTTCCATTCATGTAATACATATGATGAACAAGCCTAAAGAGAAGTCAGACAATAGGCAACTAAAGTTCATTGTGGTCATTGCTGCAATTGAGCTAAATTCCCAGGGATTTAGAAGCATGTGGTACTGTAAAATCAGCACTGGACTAAAACCATAAGGTTGGCAGTTCAAACCCATCAACTGCTCCTCAGAAACCCTATACACAGTCACTATAGATTGGACAGACTCGACAGCACTTAACAAACAACTGAACTGCCGACCTTGTGGTTCAAACCAGCTTTGCAATCCAGTGCATTAACCCAGAGCGCCACACCAGGACTCCTTTCAAATGTTAGGGTACTTCAAAAAGTGTGGAAAAATGGAATAAAAATGTAATGGAATTTTTTCACAAACTTTTTGAAACCCTCTCATATCTAAGGGTAAAGAGAATGTATGTAAAAATACTGATTGTAAGAAGAAAATAGGAAGAAGACATTTTCCTTTCCTTCTTTATTCTAGTTTTGAGACAGCAGGATTTTCAAGTCAGATGAACAGATTTAAATCCTTCCTTGCAAAGCCTTTTCTGATCACTACATTTAAATTAACAGGCTTCCCCTTTTGTTCCTTATTTCCCTTTGCTACTTTATTTTTCTCCAAATAATAAACACCATATGCTGTAAGGTTATTTTTTTTGGCCGGCGGGGAGTGGGGGGTGGGGGGATTTTGGATTGTGTATTTGCTTATTGCCTGTCCCTCCTCCAATTGTAAATTTAAAGTAAAAAGGGATTTTTGTCTGTTTTATTCACTGCTGTAGCATCTGAAACAGTGCCAGAGTAGGTGCTCAATAAGGTTTTGTTGAGTAGTTAAATCCTTGTAGCCATGTATTATTTAGTTATACGTCATTTACTTTACCACTTAGGACCTCTGTTTTCTCATTGGTTAAATAAGAATATTATCTACCCAGTGAGGAATAAATAAGATCATTTATGTAAAATAATCAGGATAACACAGTTCCATAATTGTTTACGAAATCTTTAGGACTAGATACATTTTGGAATTCAGAGACTAAAAATATATTTTAGAAAGGAAATAATGAGCCTGTTTTTTTAATGTACTTAAGAGTACTAGAAAACTTTTAATTCTTTAATTATAGTTATTATATGTACTCTGTCCTTAATGCATTATATAACATCATAACAGAGTCTGAGGCATAGCCCATAATCAATCAGTAACATTTCTGCAACAAATATGTAAATGTTGTTGTTGTTGTTAGTGTCATCGAGTTGATTCTGACCCATAGCGGTCCTGTATAGGGTTTCCAAGGAGCAGCTGGTGAGCTTGAACCATTGACATTGCAGTTCAAATGACTTTGCAGTCTGACACATTAGCCCACAGCACCACACCAGGACTCCAAATATTAGGGGGCTTCACAAAGCTCATGGAAAAATTCATTATCTCTTAATTCCATTTTTCTACTAGTTTTTGAAGCCCCCTCATATTTATACTTAAATAGGTTAAAATGAAGACTCTAGTAGCTTCAGATCTGTTCAGGTCATACTTTGCCTCTAAAAGTTCAAGTCAGGTTTTTGCAGTCAAATAGTTATAGAATAACTTTCATTTTTCAGAGCTTTATGGATTTTGGAACATGGATATGGGATTGTGGACCTGTGCCTGACACACAGTAGGTGTTTTATAAATGCCTCCCGCCCCTCACCCCCCCCCTTTTTTTTCTTTCACATTGTCTCTAAGCATATCTAGGAGAATGGGTCTCGCTACAAAGGCAGGGATCAGTTCCCTTTTTGTTCACTGAGGTATCCCAAGTGCTACTGTCTGGGTTATAGTTCATCCCCATTAAATATTACTGATTAAATATAAAAAATGTCATGTTCATGAAATAAAATGGATTTATGGAATAAAATTTAAGTTTCCAAAGTATATAGAACCCAGTTTTAATTATTACTATAAATGTTACATAGCAGATTTTTGTTTATGTGACTAAGATAATTCCTATAATCCTATATATTACCTTTTCTTTTTCCCCCTTTTTCATATAACAAATGGCTAATTATTTGCATTACAAAAGAAGAGCTAGGTATCATATATTCAAGAAATATTTACTGAGAACCTACCATGTACCAAGCATTGTGATGGCTGGTAGGTTCAGTAGTGAAAAAAGACCTTGTCTCTGTTCTTTGAAAACTTCTGAGTCAATTTTTATGTCTTTTGTTGCCAGTGAACAATTATGCCTCAGATCCTTTCACCTGTTACTACGTCTGTCACCAATCCACCTCTGCATGGAACACATCTAAAATCACAAAGTACACTCCATACACAAAGAATGTTTTAAATGTACCGTGGTATTTAGTGAATGGAAATTGCTAGGTTGTGGGAGAATGTTGACATCCCAAAGAACTTAATGTTCTCTGCTTCATTCAGAGTATTTCTTTTTCTACTTACACTGTCAATACTCGTAGCTTGAATCTGTTACATCCATGAAGTTACAGGCTCTGTAAGTAACCTTTAAGAATGTGCTCACCATAATGAAAAGCAGGTGTAAGAAACATTTTTGATTTGCATGTTATATTTTATTATGAGATTTTATCTTTTCCAGAGAGTGAGATAGATGAATTCTCTTAAATATACTTGGATTGAATTAACTTGTTTTGACATTTAAACCAGAGTATACTACAATCATATGCACTAACCTGTTGCTTTTATACTTATTTACATTGTGTGAGATAAAATTCTTGGAATGGGATGTGTATTAACTCTTAGATGTGGTATATTTGTGATGAATTTTAGAATTTTTTAGTGCATGTAAGAGTACTAGAAAACTTAATTCTTTCATTTTAGTTATTGTATGAACTCTGTCCTTAATACACAATTATTGTGCGCTTGGCTTTGCTTCTTTGTAGTTGTAATAAATTGTATCAAGGGCATTCTCATAGCCAATTGTGCTTAGACTGGAAGAGCTTAGAGGAATGGTCTGTTGTTGAGAAAGAAAATGAAGCAAATTAATCCTTAAAGGGATAAGCTCTCACTTGGTATTGAGACTATCCATAGACAGTTTTAAATACTATTCTAATAAATTAAAAATGAGAGATATTACATAAAGTTCTTACTTGAAATTCACATTATAACACATTCTCTTGTTTGCAGCATAAACAATTGTAAAAATTACTATGAAGTACTTGGCGTTACAAAAGATGCTGGTGATGAAGATTTGAAAAAAGCTTATAGAAAGCTTGCTTTGAAGTTTCATCCGGACAAAAACCATGCACCTGGAGCAACAGATGCTTTTAAAAGTAAAGTAAACTTTTTAAAGCAATTTTACTAAGCTCTGTTTAGAATCCACTTTGCAGTGTTTCAGAACATTAAATTCTGCTTTTAGACTGGTACATTTAAAAACCAGCATACGCAACGGTCTGCAAAGTCCTTTAAAACTTCAGTATTAACTGTTACAGCAAGAACCAAGTGGATGTGGTCTGTCTTCACAAAAGTAACATGTCAATTTTAATAAAGTACTAAGTAATATTCTAAATTTTATCCATGCATTGTTTCTGATTTACCAAACAAAAGTAAAGATTATGCATGAGCTCCTAGCCTATTATCATCTGTTCTAAGTGAACTAAAAGCAAAATATAGTTTTTGTGAGTTTTAAAAGTTATTAGAGATTGTCTTGCCTGGTGTTCATTCACATTTTATTAACTCAGGCCAATTTTTGCATTATTTATACCTAGTTTTAATGTGATTTTTTTTTTTTTTTTTTTTTTTTTTTTTCCTTTTTTACCTCAATATTCTTTCAATTTTTTTGCTACTTTAGTAAATAAAATGTTAGAAAATTGATTTTATCATTTCAACTCTTCTTAATATAATTTACTCACAATAGTTGACTTCCAATTCATAGTGAAATTTTAAATTTGTGGTTGTTCATTCCTGCAAATTTAGCATTGATCAAGCCAGCATATAACACTTTTGGTAAAATGCTAGAGTCTTAGAATGACAACAGAAAGGGAATACTCATTTAAAATGTTCCCAAAAGGTAGAAGATTATATTGCTCTTTCATATAACTGCTGTTAAATTGTTTCCATAACAGCTTTATTTCTTGAATGCAGTCGCCAAGGCAGATACATTTGGGAATTACTAATATATTCCAAGAAAAGCATCTACCAAAGTGGTGCTGGTGACAGTAAAATATTGCTGTGACAGTGAGGCCCTTCACTCTTAAATTAAAAGTTGCAGGTTGAAAATACGGAAAGGTTTATTCAAAGACACTTAATTCCAAATCATATTTCTATCAGTTCAGTGACTGTGAAGAGTATGTACAAAAATTTAGTGTCTTCCTTTGTGTACCTCCAAATACATGCCTTCTATTATTTAACAAAAGTTATCATAGCTAACAGTACTAAGTTAATTTCTAAATCATGTACAGCTGAAATTTTTCGGATGAAATATTCAAATAGTATAAATAGTCATTTAATTTGCTTCATTTCTGGAGCCTAAGTTCTACAGTTTTAAACTTTGATAAATACAAAATTTTTGTCACAGTTACTAGAAAAACTCACTGAAATCTTTTAATAGCAAATTTCTTAGCCTGTTTCCCCCTAACTTTATTTTATTTTTTAGCCTACTTTAGGAATTAAAAGCATTCAATCTAAATTTTTTGATGCTTTAAAGAAGTCTAGAAATGTTTTAGCAGTTGGTTACTTAACCATGAGAAAGATGTGGCCATCTGCTTCCATAAAGATTTACAGCCTTGGAAACTATGGAGCCGTCCTGCTCAGTGCTGTCAGGTCACTCTGAATCAGAATGGACTCAACAGCAGTGGGTTTGGGAGGAGGTAGTATTTACTCATGTGTTTGTAATCTGCTAGGTTATATCAGCACGAATTCTTCATTATCATTATTATTATTAAATTACTTCTTTGTCCCACTTATGTAGAAGCCATGCTAGCATTGTTGGGACAGTGCATGTATGCACCTATATTCTACAGCTTGTGTTGCATTTTGAAGAGGTGAGCAGTATGAATGCCATCCCAGGAAGCCAGCTAAACACCCAGAAGTGGTTTTCCAAGGTAGTTATACTTTGGTATCACTCATTTCAGAGTTTGATACTCTGTTTTGCAATCTCAAAACTTTATTTATCAACATGCTTGGAAGTGATTATCTCAAGAGGAGAGGCTCACATTATTCAATACACAGGAGAGTATCTGGAAACCAAAATGTCGCTTTATAAATTCCACAGAGAATCAGAATAGTGAGGTGGTTGATAAATCCAATTTTTCATAGAATGGAAACTACATAGAAAAGCCATGTTGTAACTCAAAGCTCTATGGGGTTGCTTGATGCCTAAAGAGTTAATTAGAATGTATTATAGCTAGTGTCATCACACAGGAATGGCAGGTTACACTCATTCAGTACACAGGATATTTTAATTATTTTAATTCTAACCAATCAACTTTAACTTCCACCTTTAGAATAAAATTGTTTGTCTCTAACCTGTTTATCTGTTTAGTTTTGTGTTTAATACAAAAGCTCACTTTTATATTAATTGCTCTGATTAATGAAACACTTTTTACAGAAGACAGAAACCACTTGCTTTGCATTTTTCCAAGAATAGAATATGAAGGGGAAATTGATCAAGGGAATTAAATTAGACAGAAGAGATGTTTCATTTGAATGTGAACCAGTGAAATAGATATAGATGATGTTGTTCTTGTAAAGTGCTGTTGAGTTGGTTTGTACTCATAGTGACCCTGCATAGAATTTCCAAAGAACAGCTGGTAGGTTTGAATTGCCAACCTTGTGATTGGTTGTTAAGTACCGCTGAGTTGCTTCTGACCCATAGTTACCCTGTATAGGGTTTCTGAGGAGCAGTTGGTGAGTGTGAACCGTTGACCTTGTTGTTCAAACCGACTTTGCAGTCCAGCATGTTAACACGCCACACCAGGACTTCACCAATTGGTGTGTATATATATATATATATAGTTGTTGTTATGTGCCGTGGAGTCAGTTCTGACTCAAAGCGACACTACACAGGATTTTGGAGGCTGAAAATCTTTACGGGAGCAGAAAGCCTCATCTTTCTCCTGCAGAACTGTTGGTAGTTTCAAGCTGCTGACCCTGAGGTTAGCAGCCCAACTCGTAACCACTACGCTACCATAGATAGATAGATAGATAGATAGATAGATAGATAGATAGATAGATAGATAGATAGATAGATAGATATACATAAAATGTTTGTATGTTGTTAGGTAACATCCAGTCAATTTTGATTCATGGCAACTCCACATGATAAAATAGAATTGCCCCACAGGGTTTTCTAGGCTGAAATCTTTAGGGGAGTAGATCACTAGGTATTTTTCTTGCAGAGCCACTGGGTGGATTCCAACCATCAACCGTTTGATTAGTTGTTATTGTGAAGTGCCGTTGAGTTGGTTCCAACTCATAGCGACCCTGTATAGAGTCTCCTCAGAGCAGCTGGTGAACTTGAACCACCGACCTTGTAGTTCAAACGGCTTCACAGTCTGGCACATTTACCCACAGCGCCACACCAGGACTTTGATTAGTAGCTGAGTGTTTAAATGTACGGGCAAGACAGAACACCGAACAAAGAATTTATCCAAATGTTACTGTAGTTATTGTAGAGAAACAGAAGAACATGAGATACCTTCTTCCTCAAAGAATTTATAACTCATAGAGGAGACTTGCACAGAACACTTATAGTATTGTTAATGCTTAACACATAGAAGTAGTAGAGCGTTTCATAGGATTTTTTTTTTAACTAAAACCTTATAAAATTATCAGAAGACTACTGTCATACTCCTTTCACAAAGGTGAAAAAACACTCAGTGAGATTAACAGATTTGCCCAGGATTTCCCAGAAGACAGGATATAATTAAGTACTAAAATATAGAATAAAAATGTCTGATTAAAAATCAACAAGATAAAGTAGCATTATGACCAGAGTAATTGGAGAAGACTTCATATAACAGGTAAAGATTCAGAGTTGTAAGATCAAAGACTACAGCCTTCAGTATCAGTTGCAACTCAACATAAAGAAAACAAATATCCTCACCACTGGACCAATAAATAGCATCATGATAAAGAGAAAAGATTGAAGTTGTCAAAGACTTCATTTTGCTTGGATCCACCATGAACACTCATGGAAACAACAGTCACGAAATCAAACAACATATTGTATTAGGCAAATCTGCTATATAAGACCTCTTTTAAAGTGTGAAAGAGCAAAGATGTCAGTTTGAGGACTAAGGTGTGTCTGACCCACGCCATGGTATTTCAGTAGCCTCATTTGCATGTGAAAGGTGGATAGTGAATAAGGAAAACCATAGAAAAATTGATGCATTTGAATTAAGGTGTTGGAGGAGAATATTAAAAGTGCCATGGACTGCCAGAAAAACAAACAAATCTATGTTGAAAGAAGTACAACCAGAATGTTCCTTAAGCCAGGATGGCAATGAGTCGGAACCAACTCAACGTCACCTAGCAACAAATGATTTGTATGGTTAGTGAAGAGGGGATAGCAAAGACTTGGAAGTTAAAATGAGGTGAGCAATTTAATAGTATTGAGAACTTCTACTTTCTGGAAAGTAGAATAGACATATATTCTCCTATTTTTTCCCTACTAAGTACTCCTGAAAACTGAGTATTGTAAGTACAGCAAACATGAGAACGTTCGGAAAGGTGGAGAAAATAAGGCAGACTGACTGTGAACATTAGGATGCAAAGAATGACATGGCAGGGAGTTCCCTGAGTTTTCTTTTTGCCTTATATATCCTAGCCTGGGTGCTGGGTAAACCAATGGGCACAGAGAAAAAATCATCAGTAAAACTGTTCTCACAGCCAGCAGAGTAGGGAAGGGACAGTCTAGCAAGACAAAAAACTTTTGAGCAATAACTGTTCTACTGCAGCCAAGTACTACAAAAAAGACTGTGGTCCCCCTCCTATCCCTACCAACAAAAGCTGAGTAGTGTGCCACTGCCACCCTCTCCAATCTATAACTGATGTCCCAACCCCACTTCTAGGTCAGTGACAGAGAAAGTCAGATAGAGAACTAGGACGTTTATGCTTGTTGAGCAATAAGACAAGTCCCTATAGTGTCAATCAAGGCACATAGGGAGCCTGGACTTGATCTCACCCAGCCGTAATAAGGTACCTCTTACCTATATGGTGTCAGAGGAAACTTATTGGAGAGTCAGGACTTTCACCACTGTCCTGAGGTAACAAATCCTAACTCCATTATGTCAGAAGCCATTTGGAGAACAGTAATGAGGCATTTTTACTCCTCCCAGCCAGGAAGATAGTAGTAGCGAGTTGGTTGGGAGTTGGAAATCCCACCTCTTCAGTCTGGTTTCACAAAAGCAACCTATTTCAACAAGCAGTTACAAATATGCTCAAAACAAAAAGGTTTCAACAACAAAAATAGAAAGTCTGAGCAAAGAAATAAAAGTTCTAAAGAAGAGCCAGTATATAACTTTATAACTACAAAAACAAACAAGTAAAAAATATATATATTTTTTTTTAAATTGTCAATGGATGGAATAAATAGCATAAAGGACAGAGGAAAGAATAACTGGAAGATGGAAAACTAGACATACCGAATCTGAAGAAGAGAAAGAAAACATGGCAGAAAAAGAGAACAGAGACTTGGACCCATGAGACTGAAACAAAAGATTCCTGTCATTAGAATCTTGGAAGAAGAGAAAGAGGACAGAGCTAAAAAGTGCTGAAAGAAATAAAAGTTTTAAGTTCCTTGAGTTCTGTAAAAATGCAAGATACAAGATAAATGTATACAAATAAATTATACTTGTGTTCTCCATAATTTCAAAGAACTTATAGATACCAAATTAAAAATACATTGGTCTTTATAATCACTTTAAAAAGAAAAAAGAGAAATACTTAAGTATAAATTATAGCAAAACATGTATAGAATTTATATGTTGAAAAGTATACAATACTGATGAATGAAGCTAGAGAAGATCAAAATAAATGAAAAGACATACCATATTTATGCATTAGAAGACTCAACATGGTAAAGATGTCAAGTCTCCCCAAAGTGATACTCAGATTTTACACATATCTATTAAAATATCAGGCAGTTTTTTTTTTTTGTTTTTTTTTTAATAGATGGAAGCAAGCTTATTCTAAAAATTGTATGTAGAGGGAAAGGAGCCTGAATAATTAAAATAATACATTAAAAGAATGGAGTAGGAATAATTAGTGCTCAATTTTAAAGGTTACTGTGGGTGTATGGAGTCCTGGTGTGGTGCTGTGGGTTAATGCAAGTTTGGCAGTTCAAACTCATCAGGCTGCTCTTTGGAAACCTTATACAGGGTCACTATAAGTCAGAAACAATTCAAAGGCACTTAACGATGATGATGATGAGTATGAGTATATAGTTAACAGTAATGAAGACTGTGTGGTAGGTATTTGTGGAGGGATAGACATAATTAATAAAATAGAGACTCCAGAAAAAGACCTATACAAATAAGTCAAACTGGTTTTTGACAGAAGTGCAAAAGCAATTCAATAAAAGAAAGATGCTTTTTCAACCAATGACGTTGGAGCAGTTGGACATTTATAGACAAAATTTAACCTAAATGTCACATTTTATATAGAAAATAACAAAATATACTTATAAATATGAAATGTAACTTTTAATATTTAGTAAAAATCATGGGAGGAAAGCATATAGCTAGCCAATGATTTCTTGGACTTGGCAAATAAAGCACGAGTTTTTAAAGGAAAAGCTGATATACTAGATTTCATTAAAATTAAATTTGCTCTGTGAAAGACCCTATTAAGGGGTTAAAAAGATAAGCTACAAAGTGGGAGAAATTATTTGCCCATCACACATCTGAGAAAAGATTAGAATCTAGAAGATAGAAAAAAACAAAAAACTTAACATAAAATAAATTCTAATTATTAAATGGGCAAAAGACATTCCACTGAAGACAATATACACTAAAGATAAAATGGGTATTACTTTGTATTCAAGGCAGTAGGGAAACTATTGAAAATACGAAGCATTTGTATTTTTTGTGTGTAATTAAAACAATTGAAAGAAATATATAATATTGTTATAAGAGATTATTGCTGCTTTGCTAGTTCGCATGACAAAGCTTTTATATGGGCCAGTTTTTTATAATATTAAAACATTGCTTACCAACTTTCACTCATTACTTTTTCAGAGATTGGAAATGCTTATGCTGTTTTAAGCAACCCAGAAAAACGAAAACAGTATGACCTCACAGGCAATGAAGAAGGTTGTAATCACCAAAGCAATGGCAGATTTAATTTCCATAGAGGTTGTGAAGCTGATATAACCCCAGAAGACTTGTTTAATATATTTTTTGGTGGTGGATTTTCTTCAGGTACTTTAATATTAAATTTTATGAAGATAGAGATTCACATCTCCAGTTTGACTATTCAGAGATTGATCTATTTCTTCCCTACATTTTTTTATAGTGTTATGATCGTGGGATGATTTTTCGTGAAGATAGGAGGAAAGTGTTTAGGTCATTACTTTCTCTATGTTGTTGTTAAGTGCCATTGAGTTGGTTGCGACCCATAGCCACCCTGTATAGGGTTTCCAACTACCACTGACCTTGAGGTCCAAACTGACCTTGCAGTACAGCGCAATATCCTGCTGGGCCACACTAGTACTCCACCTACCTTTTTTCTAAAACACTTTTTGTCTTAGTTATGTAATCATACTGTAATGGAGTCCTGGTGTGGTATTATAGGATAAGTACAGGACCACAAGGTCAGCAGTTCAAACCCACCAGCCACACCTTGGAAACTCTATACAGGGTCACTGAGTCAGAACTGACTCAGCAGCACTTAACAACAATACTGTAGCAAATGTCACAAGTGAGTAGTTTTAACAAGCATTCATTTTCTCTTAAAAAATACTCATTGGAATGCTAAAAGTCAATTCAGAGCACTGACAGTGGGGGAACTTTTTCTCTCTGCTTGCTCTGGAGAAAGATCCTTGTTTTTCACCTTCTGCTTCTCTGTTTTGAAATCTGTCTTACCCCATCACTTTTTTAATGTTTTTGTCTCAAGAGATTGACTCAAGACATACCCTATAGTAATCCTGCTTCACTAATATAACAAAGACAAGCCGTTCCCAATGGAATTATAGAAGCATTTGTTGTTAAGTGCCTTCCAAATCAGTGACCTTGTATAGAGTTTTTGAGGCTGTACATTTTTTGCGGGAGCAGAAAACCTCATCTTTCTACCTCATAGTGGCTAGTGGGCTCAAACTGCTGACTTTTTGGTTCACTGTCTAGTGCTTATTTACATAGCCATACAGATTGAGGCATAGAGGTTAGATTTTACAATACATATTCTGGGGACATAGACTCTAATTCATGGCATTATACCCTTTGGCCACAAAAATTCATGTTCTTACCACATGTAAAACACATTCACCATATTGCATCACAAATGTCTTAAATTAACTTGAAGTTCAAAATTTCATCTTCTGAATCATATAAAGCAAATATGGGTGAGTTTGAAAGTGTATTCCTGCCTGGAGTAAAATGTGTCTTCCTCTAGGAACCTGTGAAATTTAGGGTAAAAGTGATCTGTTTCCAAGGTAGAATGTGAAACAGGAACAAGGTAGACATGACATTCCATTACAAATGGAAGAAATTAGAGGGAAAGGAAGGATAACAGACACCAAGCAAGTCCAAAAACCCAACAGAACAAATCTCCTTAGAAAACAGTACCCTCTTCCCTGAGATCAGCTGGGCCATGGCCGCACATTCCAAATCCTGGGGGTTGGCCACATACCCTGAATTCTGGGTGGAGGCCCCTGCCCTGGGTCTTCAGCTCTGCCTTTTTGACCCTCTGGAGTGGGAACTCCTTGACTTTGCTGTTGTGGTTCTTAGGTGTCCAGAGTCAGTTCCCACTCATAGCAACCCTGTGTACAACAGAATGAAACACTGCCAGGTCTTGCACCATCCTCACAGTTATTGTTATATTTGCGACATTGCTGTGGCCGCTGTGTCAGTCCATCTCCACTTGTGTGTGCTGACCCTTTACTTTACCAAGCAGGATGTCCTTCTCCAAGGGCTAGTGCCTCCTGAGAATGTGTCCAAAGTGTCTCTATCCTTACTTCTAACGAGCAAGCTGACTGTACTTCTTTTCTTTTGTTGATGTTGTTGTTAAGTGCTGTCGAGTCGGTTCCGACCCATAGCGACCCTGTACAGGGTTTCCAAGGGTGTAAATCCTTACGTGAGTAGAAAGCCTCATCTTTCTCCCGCGGAGCGGCTGGTAGTTTCGAACCGCTGACCTTAAGGTTCACAGCCCGATTCGTAACCACTACGCTACCAGAGCTCTTCTTTTAGGACAGATTTATTTGTTCTTCTGGCAGTCTGTGGTACTTTTAATATTCTTCACCAACACCATAATTAAAATGCATCAGTTCTTCTCCAGTCTTCCTTATTCAGTGTCCAACTTTCATATGCATATGAAGTGACTGAAAATGCCATGTCTTGGGTCCATAAAATGGACAAAGGTCTTTTAGCAGCAGGTTTTCTCAATGCAAAATATATCATTTGATTTCTTTTCTTTTTTTTAAGTTTTTATTTTGACTTGAGAGAAAGTTTACAGGGCAAATGATCAGCTTTACATTCAACAAATCATACACTTTGTTTCATTACAGTGGTGCCTTTAGTGCAGCCTGGATTTCTCCCTTCAATACCATTGGTTCTGAAATGGTTGAATGTCAAACAATTTTTTTGTTACAGTGATCCTCAGTATTCTTTCAAGTTCTTTTGATGTTTCCTGCACCATTCAATATTTTGTCCATAGAATTCTTTAGTATTGCAAATCAAGGCTTGATTTTTTTTTTTCTTCTAGTTTGAGAAATGCTGTATATGTTCTTTCCTTTTTGTTTACGAACTCTAGGTGTTTGTATATTTTATCTTCATGAGATACCCTTTGAAAATCTTATGTTCAGCTCTCTTACTTCATCATTTCTTTCAGTCAGTTTAGCTATGCTATGTTTAAGAGCACGTTTCAGAGGGTCTCTGACAACCATTTTGATCTTTTCTTTCCTGTTTTTCTCATGACCTTTTACTTGCTTCATGTATAATAATCTTGATGTCGTCCCACAATTCCTCTGGTCACTAGTGTTCAATGTGCCAAATCTGTTCTTGAGATGGTCTCTAAATTCAGATGGGAACTACTCAAGGTCATATTTTGGTTCTCATTGACTTGTTTCACCTGTATATAAGCAATTGATGCTGTGTTCCACAGTCACCCCCCACCTTGTTTTGGCTGATAATATTGAGCTTCTACATCCTCTTTTCCCAAATACAGTTAGTTTGATTCCTTTGTATTCCAACTGATGAAGCCCACATGCATAGTTACTGTTTGTATTGTTAGAAAAAGGCATTTGCAATAAAGAAGTGATTGGTCTTGCAGAATTCTGTCACGCGATCTGTAGCTTAATTTCCATCACCAAGCCATATTTTCCAACTACTTATCCTTGGTTTGTTTCCAACTTTCCCATTCCAATCACGAATAATTATCAATTTATCTTGGTTGCATGTTTGATCAATTTCTCCATCATTGACTTTGGTGGTTGTTGTGCAAATTTGAATAATATAATTATATTACCTGATCTTCTTTATAGGCATATAGACAACATCCTATCACAGGCCACATTGTATTTCAAGATCCTGAAATGTACCTTTTGAAAGTGAATGCAGCACCAATTCTCTTGAACCTGCCATTCCTGGCATAGTAAACCATATGATTGTGAGATTCAAATGAACAATACCTGACAATTTCAGCTCACTGATGCCTAGGATATTAATCTTTATGCATTTCATTTTACATGTGACAACTTCCAGTACTCCTAGATTCATTGTTGTTGTTGTTGTTAGGTGCCATTGAGTTGGTACCAACTCATAGAAACCCTATGCACAACAGAACAAAACACTGCCCCGTCCTGCATCAACTTCACAGTCATTACTACATTTGAGTCCTTTGCTGTTGCCACTTTGCCAATCCTTCTCATTGGGGTCTTCCTCTTTTTCTCTGACCTGCCACCTTACCAAAACATAACCTTCTCCAGTGACCGGCCCTTCCTGACAATATGTCCGAAGTATAAGAGATGAAGTTTGGCCATCTTGGCCTCCAAGGAGCACTCTGGCTGAACTTCTTCCAAAACAGATCTATTGGTTCTTTTGGCAGCCTGTGGCACTTTCAATATTCTTAATTACCCAGTTCCACATTTTAGGTATCTGTTAAAGCAGCACCCTGCTCACAGTACCAAGTTTTATCCTAGTTATCCAGTGCTGCTATAACAGAAATATACAAGTGGGTAGCTTTAACAAATGTATTTTTTCACAGTTTAGGAGGCTGGAAGTCCAAATGCAGATTTTGGGCTGTAGAGGAAGGATTTCCCTCTCCCTTGGCTCTGGAGTATGAGCCTCCTTCAGTTTCTGCTTCCTGATACTTTGGAGGTCTCAGTGTGGCTTGGCATCTGTCTTACCCCACCTCTACTCTGCCCTCTTGTTTAATCTCTTTTATATCTCAAAAGAGAGTGACTCACTCCTGCTTCATTAGTTTAACAAAGACAACTCATTCCCAAATTGGATTATCACTATAGTCTCAGAAATTAGGGTTTATAGTATATATATTTTAGGTGACATATTTCAATCCACAACACTTTTTAGTTTTTTAAAAAATGAGTAGCAGTAGTCTGTATTTTTATTATAGCAGAAGAGAGGGCACATAAGTGGGAAACCCAATAACACTATCTTTTTCTTCTTGTTACGTGCTATCAAGTTTGTTCTGACTCACAGCTACCCTGTATAGGGTTTCCGGGGAATGGCTGGTGAGTTTGAATCATCTACCTTGCAGTCAAGCATTTACCGTACAATGTTACACCAGGACTCCAACATTATCTTAGATAAGTCCTTTTATAGTTATGGGAGGTATCTTGTCCCCTGGCTGGCTACTTGACATAGATTCTGTAGAGGTCTTTGCAGGTACTTTATTAAAAACATTGTAGATTATTAATAAGGGTGTCTTTAGAGGTTCTTCTTTCCACTGAAATAGTAAAGAGTATATCTCGATGTTGTCTGTACAACCTGTAAAGGTCATGTGTAAAATAAGTTTTTTAAAAATTACTTTTAAGATAAAAATAATTATTTGAATTTGGCTACCAAAATGAAAGATTGAAGCAGTACTGCCTAAATAAACAATTTTATAGCACTAACAGTATAAGAACTATTGAAATCATTATATTTATTTGGCTGGAAATTGTTTTTCTTAAAGTAGTTAAAATTGTAGCTGTAATTTTGTTTACATTAAGTTTGAGTAAAGATACTTTACTGAAAATTAGAATAATCTTTATAATGCAGTAAAAGTATTTGGCTTGGTGAGTCTCTCTGAATATTACTGAGAAAAAAATGTGCCATTGACAGAACATTTTGTAAAGCATTCTGGAAGGAAAATGTATGTGTAGATACAAATCAGTGGTTAAAAATATAAACTGTATTTTAACATATTGTTGTTCTTAAGTGCCATCAAGTCGGTTCCAGAGTAGGGTTTGCGAGGAGCAGCTGGAACATACTAGAATCCATAATTAGATTAGAAATATATATTAGAATATGTAATTTCCTCACAGAAAAATTATTAAAATCATTTTGACTGAAAATATTCTAGAAACAATCAGAAGTCTTTCAGGTAGCAGAGAATTTGGCTTCTAATAACTGATTTATAATTTGGCTTCTAATAGTTGTTTATCCTTGGGTGGAATTAACAGCTAAATGCTCAAGTACTAGCCAGAGAGTTGGTGGGTCAAGCTCACCTAAAGGTGCTTCGGAAAGCAGGCCTACTGATCTGCTTTCAAAATGTCATAGCCTTGAAACCTTAGGGAACATTTCTGTTCTGCACAACAGTTGTTGTTTTAAGCCAGAGTTAACTTGATGACAAGTAATAACAAAAGGTGATTTGCAGGGTTTTTTGGTTTTTTTTAACACTAGTTATAACATAGTTTATCTTGTCAGTAGTAGCTGTTTCTCATTATCACATTGTCTAAAAATCGTTTTAACTGTCCATCAGTAAGAGAATGAATAAGTAGTGGTACACCTTCACAATAGTTTATTATATGGTTTTCAAATGAATTAGAGCTTTTATCTTTTGATTTCTAGGGATACACTGTTAAGTGCAGAAAATAGTGTTTCAGATTATTCATTCTTCCAATGTTTGTAGTATTAGCGAGAAACTCTTACTGTTTTAAAGAGGGAAAGTCTTGGAAGAATTATTTCTGTTTGTCTATTATTCAGATGAACAGAGAATAATAAATATACAAGTTTTCTGACCATAGCTGACTTCTCTAATACTACTTTATTTTTTAGGTAGTGTCCATTCATTTTCAAATGGACGAGCTGGCTATAGCCGTCAACATCAGCATCGACATAGTGGACATGAAAGAGAAGAAGAAAGAGCAGATGTATGTTTATGATGTGATTAGAAATGATAAATGTCATATTTCAACTCAGGAAAAGCAATAAGAGTTGTCTCAAAGTAAAGGAAATTGTTTTAGAAAGTAATACGTTGGATAGAAGTGTTCAATAGAAACTAAAAATTCTCTTAGGATTATTGTGGGAGTAGGGACAGAGATAAGAGTGGGGTGTGATTTTACAACCTGACCCCTTCAGATTTGGTATCCAAATGAAGATATACCTGTAGTATACATGTTTGAAGGTTATCTTTGTTAGTCTAAAGAATTATAATAAATAAAGAAAAACTTAAACTTTCCTTGTTTCAATGCCAGCTCTGACTCATAGCGACCCTATGTATGATCCTATGTACAATTCAATATATACAATCATATCTAATTGTGTTGAGCAACTAAATTACATGAAGTGTCAAGGTAAATGGAAAGAATATCAAACTAGAAGTGAAAAGCCTAGGTCCTAGCCCTTTCATTCACCAGCTGCCATGTTCCACCCCAAATCCAAGGAAAAGTCGTTTTGCAACCTGCTTCATATTGATAGAGTCTGTGTGTGTGAGAAAGAAAAAGTATTTCTGTTTTTGTAAAATAAGATAAAATTGTATCAGTGTTTTCCGAATCAGAATCTCCAGATGAAGAGCCTGGGGAGTTGTATTATTAAGAAAGATCTTTAGGACACTGGTGTTTTTTTTCAGGAAGATTTGAAAGCACTGGACCAGATGATAGCTAATGTCCTTTCTGCTTCTAAAAATCTATGACACATTTGGGGTTATTGACAACTACAATTATATTACAGTTTTGTTTTTTATTATTTTTTATAGGGTGGTTTTTCTGTGTTTATCCAACTGATGCCCATTATTGTATTGATCCTGGTATCACTACTAAGCCAGTTGATGGTCTCAAACCCTCCTTATTCCTTATATCCCAGATCGTAAGTAGCTAAGCAAACTTTTCCAGAAATGCATTGTGCCGTTTCTTATCTAGCTTTCTCTAAACCTCCTGTGCTCTTTTATACCTTTTAAGTACCAGATCTCTTATAATTACAAGTGTACAGGCTAACAGACTGATTTAAAAATCTCATTCTAGCTTTTAGAATAGGTTTTCAAGTGATAACGTTTTTATTATGTTGTCAATTTACACTTCTGTTTTACTGTGTGTATGTGGGTAAGGACAGAAGTGTTATATTCAAACTTGTCTGCAATTTAATATGATAGTAGTGTACTAACTAACATTAAGGAACAAAAAATCTGTAAAAGACAAAAATACTTTGAAAATAAAACTAAAGTAGTGATTGAATTTACATAGGCTTGTATCATTAAAGAGGGAATGACTTTACTCTTTTGCTTGTAAGGTATTGATTAAATCAAAGCATACATTATTTCTTTGCTGTATACATACAAAATTTATTTTATAAATGAGATCAAGATACAAAGTAAACTTAATCCTAGTATCTATGCTAGACAGCATTAGCTTAATACAATGAACATAAAAATTTTTTATCATATTACCAGTGATTTCAAAAAGTCAGAACTTCAGACTGGTTCAAACCAGTTCAGTATGGCTAACAAAGCAAAATTGGGACAAACAGGAACTTTTAACATTTGGATGATCTGGAATGCTAACTGGAGTCAGAAAAATTACAGGTTAAAGTCCTGGAATGGGAGACTCAGAAGAGGCATTGTTGTTAAGTGATGTTGAGTCGGTTCCGACCCATATCGACCCTATGTAGGGTTTCTGAGGAGCGCTGGTAAGCTTGAACCACCAACCTTGCAGTTCAGAGTGACTGTGCAGTCCAGCGCACTAACTCACAGCAACACAACAGGACTCCTAGAAGAGCCATGTTGTTGTTGTTGTTAAGTGCCTTCGAGTAAATTCTGACCCATAGCGACCCTGTGTAGGGTTTCCAAGGAGCCACTGGTGAGCTTGAACCGCTGACCTTGTAGTTCATACCAACTTTGCAGTGCAGTGCATTAACCCACAGTGCTTTACCAGGACTCATAGTGAGCCCTATTAGGAATGTGATGCATGACAAAGGGTTACTGCCAGGACTCTGGAGATCTGCAAACATTCAAAGCATCACAATGGGTTGCCATCTTTGAGTGAGGCACCACTGTTTTTGACTCAGCTTGTCAAAACATTTGGCAGCTATCTATTATACACACTGCCCTTATTTCCTAAGGAGATTAAGTTTCTAGCAAGGCTTCGATCCCTTTGTAGTAGTAGCACATCAAAACATCCAGTTTTAATTAAAAAGTAATGAACATGTATCTCTTTCACAGTGGATCAGGACAAACCATTAAAATGCAGACAGAAAATTTACGTGTTGTTTATTATGTCAACAAGGACTTTAAAAATGAATATAAAGGGATGTTATTACAAAAAATAGAAAAGAATGTTGAAGAAGATTATGTGACTAATATTCGAAATAATTGCTGGAAAGAACGACAACAAAGTAAGTTTATCAAATGTTTAACATTTTAAAAGTTATTCAGTGTCTTTGAATTACTTATAGATTTTTCTGCTCAGGAAATGATTTGAAATTCTCTGGCACTCAAGTCCTTACTTGGAAAAGTCATGTGCAAACCAATTTTACAGATGCCTCATTTGTAAATACAAGAAATGCAGCCATTTGTCAATTAAATAAAAAATTGCTAATAGAATTTTTAAATCCTATCCCCATTGATTAAGGATCTCCTTGGAAGCCTTATACAGGGTGGCTTTGAGTCAGCACAGCAGCAGTATTAAATGACATAGAGGCTGAGATAATGCTTCTGAGCAATGGTTTTAAAACTATTGAGAGAGGGGTGGAGGAAGAGAGTTCTGAGGTGAATTGACAGAATCCTATCCATATTTCTTTCCAGAGCAGCGCTGTGTTTGTTTTATACGTAGACTTCAGATTAAGATTTCATTTAAAGAGAGATTTTTCCATGAGAATGACTTTCAGGAACAATACTTGTATTTCTTTTTTTTTTTAAGTCAGCTAACAAATATCTTGATGGGCTTCAGTAAAGGAAGCATCATTATATATTGTAGGGCTTCAGTGAAACATCATTGTTCTTGTTATGTGACATCGAGTCGATTCCGACCCATAGTGACCCTGTATAGGGTTTCCAAGGAGCGGCTGGTGAGCTCGAATCACCAACCTTATGGTTCAAACAACTTTGCAGTCTGACGCATTAGCCCACAGCGCCACACTATTAGAGATTAACAATTGGATGATATGAATTATGTTTAATAAGTTAAAAAAATGTTCTTTTGTTGTATACAGAAACAGATATGCAATATGCAGCCAAAGTGTACCGTGATGATAAACTTCGAAGGAAGGCAGATGCATTGAGCATGGACAACTGTAAAGAATTGGAGCGACTGACTAGTATCTATAGAGGAGAATGAACTGGAATTTTTAGTTATTCCTTTTAGCAAATTCCTTCTTTTTTTCTGCAAGTAAATTTAGTTTCATCATGAGAATTGAAGACAAAGGTTTGATATTAAAAGCAAAACTGTATAGTTGCTACCTTAAATTTTGGACTGTTTATGACCTACTGATTCCTTTAAATAGTAGGAAGTTGAAAACTAAAATTAATATTTTAGTTATGCTTCTATAATTATTTTCACATTAAAAGCTTGTATGATTCCTAACTAAAAAATGTTTCAAGCAAGGATTATCACACTTTCAGCAATTTCCCATTTTAGTGATTCTCCATTTTTTCCTTGTCATGTAAATATTTATGGAATGTTCATTTTGTATACGTGCAGGTTATTGCATTTTTATTTAAATTCTTTAAGTGTTTAGCTCCATGAGACACTTCTGCTTAAACTGATGAAATATTATATGACAATTACATTTTCCTTGTCAGGTGTCGAATGTGTGGAGTTTAAACAATGTAACTCTTTAAAAAGAAAAGCAAAAACAAAAACTGTTTAACTTTATGTAAAATCTCTTACCATTACCAGCTTAGAGGTAATTGATATTTTCAAATATTGCCATTATATTACAAAATATATATTGAGATAGATAAACTGGTATAGAGTATCAGTTTGCTATTTAGTTTTATGAATTGCTAAGCCATGTGTAGAAATGAAATGCTATACTGATAGATTTTAAAGAAAATATAAGGAAATGGCTATACAGGTATTAAATTAAGAGGATCTTCAACAATAAATTGCAGGTATGTCTTTTGCAAGTCCAATAGTTAAAAGGCCCCAAAATGTTCATTTATGTCTTTAAAAGCTGCTAAAATTTTTGAAGAAGACCCACCTAAATTTTCCCCTTAAGAAAATGTGCTGTTTCTAAGTGATCATCTAAGCAAGATCTGAAAGTAAATGGATTCTTCTACAGATAAGTAGTATGAGCAATTGCCACTAAAATCAAGCTTTGTGCCTTTTAACCCTACTGTTAACTCTTAAACATATTAGTAGATTTTAGCGTACCTATTTGGTTTGACCAAAGCATGATCTATTTATCCACATGCAGCAGTGAACAAAAAATATCTAGTGAGCCAAAAAAAAAAAGACATTTTATAACAAGTCATTCTTATAAAATCCTAAGCTAAAATCTGTTTAGCATTGAGTAATTATTCCTTTAACGATATGCTCCTTTTAATTAGATCCATAATATAAATTAGAAAAATCAGCTGGAACTTGAAGTTTTTGGTGCCTGTATATTGGATGCAAAATTATTTGATTTCTAGTCTTAGTGTGTTTAACATTTAAAATATTTTAATTATTTTGCTTCATATTCAGTTAATGGAATAAGAACATGTGTGTATGTGTGTGAATGCTAGATAAAGTTGCAGTATTCTTTTGATTTAAAGACTATTTCGGAATGTAGTTAATTTATGGCGCTGTGGGTTAATGCGCCAGACTGCAAAGCTGTTTGAACTACAAGGTTGGTGGTTCAAGGTCACCAGCTGCTCTTGGAAACCCTATACAGGGTCGGAACCAACTCGACGGCACTTAACAACAACAACAATTGAATAAAACTGTTAAAATGACCATTTTCTCCTTGAGGAAAAAAAAAAAGTGTTCTCATGTACCCATTTTTCCAGGTGAAATCAGTAGAAATGCTTGATTGAATTAGATTAAACTAAACTAGAAAAACTGGACATCCCAACCAATTTTCTTCTAGAGATGTAACCTTTAGAAGAAATAGCAGTGCTTAAAAGAAAATTATAATTTGACATCTTGAGATTGTAGAATGAGGTTTTTTTAAAATTCTAATTTGAATGTACATATGCATCAGAATATTTATAAAAAAATTGCATCCATTTATTTTTCCAGTTTTAATGGGAAGTTTGCACTATCGTGGTTGATACTTAGTTGGACGGTACTTTTTTGTTTACTGATTATTTTCCCCTTAATCTTTGTTTTAAGGGGTTAAAGTTACCAAGTTAAGGGAAATTGTGTATCGTGAACATGGCTTTTAGACAGTATTATATTTCGGTTCCATTGCTGAATTCCATTTCATTTCTTAAAATGTTGAGAAAATGTATTTGGTAAATTAAATTTGTCAAACAACTATGGGAAATGATTAAAGTGCCCTGTAATTTAAGCCATATATAAAGTGTAGAAGTAAAGAGTGGGTCCTTTAATGTTACCTGCATCATGGTGTAAAGGCCCAGCCAAGTGTCTTAGACTTTTAAGTTACTTCTACAAAGTTAAGAAGCCTTTTGCTATCTTGAGATGTTTTAACTACATGACTTTGCACTTTCATTTAATTCTTTGTTCTGTTCATTTTCATTTACATAAATCCCCTCAGTTGTTTGAGCGTTGTTTTAGCTTCTCTAACAAAGGTTTTAGAAGTTTGGCAGCATTTATATTTGTTGTATGTTTTATACCCCTTTTACACACACACACACACACAAACACATACACATATACACATTACCATGTTTGTGAAGGTTTGGGGAACAGGGAAATAGCACCTTTTCTCATCCTTGATTCTTTAGTTCCCAAATAGACTGGTGCTAATCCCTTGTCATTTTTAGAATTTATTTTGATCAAGTATGAGAATCTAGGGCTCAGCAGTGAAAAGTTTCCAGTTACAATCTACCTGATAAATGAAAATAATTTTTATTTGGAGTTGTCTATATTTGAATACTTGAATAAGTATTTGTTTCGTAATCATTACATGCTTATTTATGAATTGTAGTGATCTGGTAAAGAAAAGTAACTTTTAGGTATAAATATGTCAGTGTACCATAATACTCTGTTTTTGTATAAGCTCAGGTGTTCACAGAAAGAGGAATTTGGAATGCCAGCCCTGTACTTTAATTGCACTTTCATGCTGACTTTTTCTTCCTACCAAATCTTCAGTTCTGCTAATAACTATTTTACATATTAGTCCATAATATTTTTAAATGCAGCTATTATTCTAAAAAAGGTGACATGTTAATGTTAATGTTACTTAGTAATATATTTCTACATAGTTTTATAAAACAAATAAATCTCCCACCTATACTAAGGCAGTGAAATAATTCTTGAGGTTGGGACCTGAAGACCAAATGAACCACTTTCAAGTTAAGCGAGGTAGTATATGGAAGGTCCTAAAGATGAGGCTTTCTACTCCCGTAAGGATTTACACCCTCGGAAACCCTGTACAGGGTCACTATGGGTCGGAACCGACTTGACGGCACTTAACAACAACAACAATGATTCAAAAAGGAGAATGTGTGCATTCATTTAGCTTCTATGTGGTTCTTTGAGTTAGACAACGAACTGCTAACCCCAAGGTGTATGGTTCAAACATACTAGCCACTCTTTGGGAGAAAGATGAGGCTGTCTTCTCCCATAAAGATTTACAGTCTCAAAAATCCTGTAGTAGGTCACTATCAGCCAGAATGACTTGATGGCAGGGAGTTTAGCTGTGTGAAGCATGGTTCAGTACTACCATGTTGTTACCCATTTTTATCCTGAGTGAGACAAACGGAAAGGGGATTTATAATTTTTTCTTCCTTCTCTAGACAGAAAAACTTCTGAAAATGAACAGTAAACTTAAATCTTAACTGTTCTTGAAATCTTTGAAAAACCCTGTATGTTGGCTAAATTGAGCTACTGCCTAGTTAAAATTCTCTACAAAAAGAAAAGAAAAGAATAGTCTTGCAGTCAAAGTCCATTGAGTCCACCCTGACTCATACCAACCCTATAGGACAGAGTCCAACTGTCCCATAAGCTTTGTAAGATTGTAATCCTCATGCAAGGAGACAGCTTTCTCCTGCAGAACCACTGGTGGACTTTAACTACCAACCTTTTGGCTAACTTTAACCATTGTGTCACCAACAACTTCTAAAATTTTTCGTCCTAATTTTTAATAAAAAAAAAAAAAAGGTGTATAGAACAAGGTTTTCAGTAATTCTTAAACATCTCTTTAATAATCTGATAGGTAACTCAGTCCTAGAATCAGGCTTCCTTTTGGTTTTATTGCTATTTAATAGATCTTTTCATGTAAATGAAAACATTTACCCTCAAAACATGAATTCAAAACATACTCCTTATATTAAGGATTATGCAATCTTATGTGTATTTTTTGGTTTTATAAATTCCCTGTGTGTTATTATTTCTTGTTAGTATGCAGTTCTTTTTCATCCAAATTTATTATCTGCTGGTGTTGGGGCCAATAGATTTGTGAATACTCTGTGAATGTGTCCATGTATAGATTTTTTTTTTTTCAGCTAATACCTCAAATGTGTAATTGTTTAATATATATCATACTATGTTTGCACAAAACAGGGCTTACCTTAGCAGTGGGTATTCTTATTTCTCACTTTGAAAATTAGTCCACAGAATTTCATTGGCATGAATTCTTTCTGTTGATCCTTTCCATAATTTAGGGTAGACATTCCTATTACAAGGCCCATACTTCAAAGATAATGTACCTTCCTGTATTTAGCCATCTGAAAATATGGAGGAGTCAAAAGTGTTTCTTTAAATTTCTTAGTTTAGTAAGTTTTTAAAAATGGCATTACTGGTTGCCAAGAGGTCTTCTAACAGTATAGCAAATGACACCTGACACAAATATAATCAAGTCTCATTCATTTCAGCACAAGAGTCAGGACATTCCATCTGATATCTTACTTTGTCATTTTAGAGGACCATCAAAACAGAGATTTTCAGTGGCATTGATGTGCTTTATCATCAGTTTCAAATGAATTATTTTTGAGTTGGATGACCCTGCCATTAGAAACTCTTATTTAGATGATATTTTGTAATTGATTTATATTAGGAAATGCTTCTTACCAATTTGTTTGTCTTTGATTTGTGGATGGCTATATGAAATGTATTTCCATTTAAAGTATAATTTATGTGTTTTTAAAATCTGCAGGTAATTTTCAAGGTCTGATGGAATTTTAATAGAAGCCTTGTATAAGCTTAAATGAAGTCAAACCAGTAAAGATCTTACTTTATGATGTATAGTGCATTCAAGATTATATAATTAGGGTTAAAAACTAAATGTCTGATTTGTAATATATTTAATGTTATATCAGACTTATATAAAAATAAAATTCTCTGTGTCAGAACTCTGTTAGAGAAAATGGCATTTGATTTTTAATGAATGTTCTGCTGAATGATTTATGATGAAGTGTCTTTCAGTCTCTGTAGTTTATCGTAGAATATGAATAAAAAAAATCTTTTCTCACTGTAAGAGTTACATTTTTATCATGTTTATACTCAATATTTCCTTATTTTATTCACTCAACCATTCAAAAAATCTATGAACACCTGTATATCCCATGCAATGAACCAAGTGCTGAGAATTTATCACTATACAAGACAAAAATTCTTAGGAAGCTTACATCTAGCAAGGAAAATAAATGTCAAATAAATAATAATAATTATAATGAGTTCATTAAAGAAAATTACAAGGTACACTGAGAGCATGAATCTGGAAGACCTA